ACTCCGTGTTCGTATGTTATCATCGCCGCCAGGGAAGTCTTTATGTTACTGTTGCCATTTTGGTATTTGAACCATCACACCTGTACTATACCAATTACGGTAATATTACGTTGCGTGTGACAATGGAAATACGGCATCTTTCTGAAACAAAGTGTGGGAAGGGATGAATAACCATGTTCTGGGGCCTCATCATACACTCTTTCAATAGAAATCACTCCAAGACGCGTTTGCACAAGCATGTAATTCGAAGATAAAATGATTATCATAAAATTGCAAATGTTTAAGTTTATTACTTAAAATACATCGTCAATAAATAAAAAAAGGTTTATACAAATATTAAAACAGAAAAAATATACACATGAATCAATTATAAATATCGCAGATTAATACATTAACAAATGTGGTAAATTTGAACATGGCGGTTTGAAATTTTTTAAGTTGTTGTTTTCAAGGATTTTAGTTTGGTTTTGGAGAAATGTAATTGCTAGTATACACATATACAGAGCCTCTGAAATTGCAGTTTTTGAACAGGTTTTCTGTGGCGACTTAGCTTGAGCGTACTGTTTCACTTTGGGGATATTTCTCTGACACTGTACTTGAGCCATGCCCGATGTTAACGGCCAAACTACACTGGAACTGGGGACCATCGAAGGTCATTGTTACCACGCTCATCGACGATAGGAACACTAAATTTTTGACATTAAAATGTCACTACACTGACGTTTTTGTTCACTAGAACTGTCGCGACAGTAATTCCTGTTACTCCCTTCATTCCGATGGCCACTTAAATTCATGATTATCCGTGTTGGTATTCCAGCGTTGTTCAATGATTGTATAGTGGTTAGTGTACAGCATGCTCAACTCTGCGGCCGCTGATATTTTTTTCATCATTTCCTCCAAAATATTGTGACCCAAAGGAGCGTTTGTATACCAAGTTGTTTCACTACCTGTAAAGTAACTAATATGCCGCTGGAAAAAAGCATTATTGCTTAGGTGAAGCTTATTTGTATTTTTTTAGAATGGCCGTAACAGGACAAAGTGGAAAGTCTGTTTTGTACATCCGTTTATCTGATTCAAAGTCATCCCCAGGATGGTTTTTGGTTGCTTCCAAATAGGCCAAAGTGATATAATCCCGTCCCCGTCAGCTTTCTTTAAAACAAAACTCTTGTTGTGTAAATCCTGAAGACCCTCCCATCCCTTTGGCAAAAGAAAAACTCTACATAAAACCACACCAAACGCAAAATAGACACCGGGTCACGGTCGAACAGTGTATCGCTGATAAACATCTTACTCATGTCTCCCGCACTGATAACCGTTTTGTGTTGGATTTTATCTTTTCCCTCCCACTTCAAACTTTTTACTTTCCCTATAAATACATTATTGGCAGTTTGGAATTCCCGATTTTGATAATGTTTAATGGGGCGATTGAATGGAACATTGGTTATGTGGCGATGGATTGCTCCTCGAATTCCAGCGTAGCTTTTTATGCTGTATTCTTTCCCGTCTCTAGCCCTGACCTCGGTATAAAAATGCTTCAATATTTTTGCCAGCTCTTGCACTTCCACCATTTTGAAGGCTGGGTCGATTTTTCCATTCAGAACACCACACTATACAAAAAAAACCATAATTTTACCGGGGGTAGTACGGAAATTTGGTCATCATGGAGTCAAACGTTCAACGCTTTGTTTACAAACAATAAAAATGCCGGTACAAACTATAGTTACTTTATGTTATATACTTTTTAATTTTGACTTTTGTCACACTTACATTTGAGTAATTTCACACCCCATTTTGTGGAGGCGTTAGTATTCACATTTTTCTTTGCTGCCAAGTTTTCGACCATTTCTTCAGAAAATTCTGGGAATCTTTGCCCTTTGGCAGACACCGGCATCTGTTGATCTGGCTCGTTATTACCACCGGCGTTCTGTTGCTCCCATTTAATTGTAGCTTGAAGAAGTTCTTCATCAGTAGCGTCAATTTCATCCAGCTGGTCCCATTTTAAATTGAGATCAAAATTGAACTGAGGCTCGTTGTCTGACATAATTACTATGTTCTGAAAATGCCGCTAGTGACTTGCAGATGACAATATTTATCATATTTCAATCCAGTTTTTGTTTTATTAATTATTCATCAAACAGGGCCCGAGTCATATATTGCCAGATATAAACCATGGCGCCAGCCTATCAGATGGCTAGATTCACACTGGTCATATTATAATGCATACCGATAATATGTTTGTGTTTCAGGTACCTCTTGGTGCTGGTATTGCCTTTGCATTGAAATACAACAACTCAGATAATGTCTGTGTGTCTCTGTTTGGTGATGGTGCCGCCAATCAGGGCCAGTTATTTGAAACATTCAACATGGCTAAACTATGGGATCTACCAGCCATCTTTGTCTGTGAAAATAATGGCTATGGTATGGGTACAAGTGTTGAAAGAGCTGCAGCTAGCACAGACTACTTTACCAGAGGTGATTATATTCCTGGTATCTGGGTAAGTTTTATATTCAATAAAATGTTTGTCATTGTGCCTATGAAGTAAGATGCCTAAATGTGGTATGGGCGGAGCTTAATATTCTAATTTGACAAATTATTCAACGACAGCAACTGTCGCTAACATCCCCAGTGATTATGTTTTTTTTTGCCTTGTGTAGTGTAAACTGAGGGTAAGGTATAGTAAGGGAAGATTTTGGCTTCCTTGTCGTTGTGACTTTTGACTTGTGGGCGCGATAACATGATCGGTTTCAAATTTATTTATTTAAAAATGCCATTCCAGCAGAGTTGTTTTCCCGCGAGCCCATTTTTCTTGTCTCATTGTTATTAGACATGAATTAAAAGTGAAACTACAACAAAATCCGTGGATTAAAAGTGCTAAGTCAAAATTGTGTGCGACGACATCGAAAAACTTTAGGACGAAGCTGTAGGGATCTTGTTCGACGGTGATGACGACAGCGACTTGGACTTTGAGGGTTTTGACTTTTACAAAGATGGCAATGAACGTACAAATAAAGATCTGAGAATTTTCATAATTTTCACTGTGTAAATTTGTAAATTATTATTGTTTGTGTATGACTGTTGACCCGGTATTTGTCAAAAACGGAAATAATTTTACGCTTTTTACCTGTGACATTTTGAGTTCACGCGTATTGAGCGTGTATGTCGGTGGGGGAAATCCTAAATTTGAATGATTCTTCACTGTCAATTTTTATTATTTCTGGTTTATTTGTCACATTATAAGCAATACCGTACATTATTTTTGTTTTACTTCTAAGGTTGCATATTGTTCATTTATTTCTCTTGCTTGTTTTTATTTACTGGTCTTTTACCTGTCACAGTTTGATGTGCGTGTTGTTGATTTTTGCGATTTTTCATTTCTTTTTGCCGGGGATATCCGGACAAACGCCCACTCCTATTATTTTCCATGTACAGGACCCTGGGCTCTTACCTGGATAAATACGGTATTCGAAATGCCCGACTGGTGGCCATTTTGTTTTAATTAATGCTATTCCAGAGCAATATTTTTCAATATGGACAAGTACTCGTTTGACGATCAAATACAAGATGTCATTTTAATGTTAAAATATAATCATAATCGAGCATCATTTTCTGGATCCATACTTCTGACATGTTTATGTTCCAACTATATTACTAGAAACAAAACTACGGTACTCGACCGCGTTAGCGCCCAGGGGCCTCAACTCAGAAAATCATGATTTTTTTAGGGGTGGGCGCTTACCCGAGCACCCCCCTCGAAAAAGAGTGCAAATGAAAAATTTGATTCATCAAGTAACAGATTACGTCTTTGAGGGAAATCAAATTACGAAATTAGTTGAGTCGCCATTGATTTTCACAATGAAGAAACAGAAATGATCACAAAAAATATGCACATTTTATTACAATATTAATTACGTCCCACCAGAATTTACGAAATTAAAAACATTTGAGTCTGTTGGAACACAGTTGAATTCAAAATTGTCATATTATCTCCACTGACGAAGGTGTTGGATCGTACGCAAACTTTCATCACAAATCACTTTCCGCCATGATGCATTTGCAGATTTCACCTGCAGTGGCGTCCTTTGACCTAATGGGTCAATTGGTTATTAACCATCACAATGCTGTGTTGTAATGACGCAATTCTTCGGAAATTCCCGAAGACGTTCCGGTAACGCAATGCGGAAGTGAATTATCGATGTCGAAGTACGATCTGTTGGAATTGATTTCAGCGAATAAACGACATAGTTTTTCCAAAAAACTAGTAACTAGCCATTTTTGAGAGGTAAACTGTATATGGCATGAAATATTTACCGCATTTTACTTGTATTAACAGGTCATTGTCGAAGCGTAGTTTACGCACGGTTACCGTGTTCTACGCATTCACATCATGTTCACAACGGTCGATAACCACGCTGTATCATATAAAAAAACGATTACCAAGATTCGTTACGCAAGACCAAGTTTTAAATTAGTTGCATTTTGAAGGGGTGGGCGCTTTGCCGAATGTGACCCCAAATATAAAAATTGCACAAAAGTGGGGGGTGGGCGCTTGCCCGGGCATGGGTGCTAACGCGGTCGAGTACGGTAAATGCTTTGACTGATTATATTCAAATTTTATATATTCGTTATACATCATGTTTTACATTATATATACTGGTACATGTATTCAAAATGGCTGATTTTGAATGCTGTTCCAGGGCAATATCATTTTAATGTTAAAAAATCATATTCCTGACATGGTTATATTCCAGCTATATTACTATAAACAAAACTATATATCTTAAATTTGATAACTAACGGGGACTGTGCCATGCATGGCTTGTTTTATTTGAGATCACTCAGTTGGTCGGCAATTCCGAAGAATAACATATCTCATGCCTACTCAGTTTTGTACTTTTTAACTAGTGTGTATTAAATGCCTGCGTTGAATTCACGCTGTGTTTTATTTAAGCTTTGATTCTTAGATTAGTGCTTCAACCCATTTTGTCAAACTTGGACAAATATCTAACTTTAACAAATAGTGATTATCATAGTAATTGTTGTGATGATATAAACTAGATGATTTGCTGTGCTGCAATGTGGAGCAAAATTGAAGATTTTACTGGTATTATCATTAGTCCCCGTTTGGATGCAGTCCGAAAACAGGACTGGTTTGACCTCTGTGCATTTGAGCGTCCAGATCTATATCTTAGCCATGCCTGGACTGATTACTTTCAAACTTCACACATATATCATACATAATATTACACATCTGCACATCAATTTGTGTTCACAATCTGATTCAAGATGGCTGGATAGCGGTCATTCTTGTGCTGAAAAATCATCAAAATCAACCATGATCAAGCATTTATGTATAAGTTTTGTCCAAACTTGGTGCATACGTTGGACATTATGGGACCTTGATGCACGTCATTTTGTTTTTCATATCGGATTTAAAATGGCTGACTAGTAGCCATTTTGTTTTAATGAATGCAGTTCTAGTGCCATAACTCGGTACATACATTGGACATTATGGGACTTTGATGCACGTCATTTTGTTTTTCAAATCTGATTCAAAATGGCTGACTGGCGGCCATTTTGTTTTAATGAATGTTGTTCTAGTGCCGCATCTCAGACATGTTTTGACTGATTATGTTAAAATTTTATATAATCATTCTACATCATGTTATAGACACACAGATGTATTCAAAATGGTTGACTGGTGGCTATTTTGTTTCAATTAATGCTGTTCCACAGCAATATCTCTCAATATGGAAAAGTACTCATTTGACGATCAGATACAAGATGACTGAATGTCAATCATTTCAGTATTAACAAATCACCATAATCAAGCATCAGCTTCTGGATCCATTTCTGACATGTTTATGTTTGAATTATATTACTATAAACAAAATTAAATATCTTAAGTTTGGTAACTAACAGGGACTGTGCCATGCATGGCTTGTTATCTTTTAATTCCAGGGGTCAACTGACTAGTAGTAGTAAGACCCTTCTTGTGTAACTAAGACAAATATTTAAACAAATAGTGTAAGTTATTGTAGTGACTAATTAACCAGGGAGCGTGTAGGAGCATAGACCTATCTCTTTCTAAGGTCTATGGTTGAAGCAGCCCTTCTATTAATTTAGATATTACATATCTCAGATTTTTTTATTTTTTATTTACGCCTATCGCCCCTCCTGGGACATAGGCCGTCAACCAGGTTCCTCCAGGCAGAGCGGCCCTGAGCCAGCATCTCCAGTTCTTTCCATGTGCGGCCCATCTTCTTAACATCTGCCTCCATGTCTCTGCGCCATGAGTTACGAGGCCTTCCCCTCTTCCTTTTTCCTTGAGGATTCCTGCCTTGTAGCTTCCAGAGACTGGCTTTCACTACACGGCGCCATGAACTCTCCAGTCGGAGATTCGTCCTTCCCCAGGTCCATTCTGTTTAAGTTTCTTGTTGACGTTTTCGTAGCAATCACATTTTTTACAGGGTAGGGTTGCTAACCCGACGCCCAACCTTCCTCCTTTTCCGGGCTTAGGACCGGCTTGGTGGTGTGTGCAAACCAAGGCGCAGATACGTATCTCAGAACATATTATTATTACCTTTTATGATAGTGTGCAGTTATTGAAACTGTCTTGCCCATTATTTTTTGCATTCCTATTATTTAAATAAATAGGCATACTTTATTCATAAAACAAACAAATTGTGAAAGAATGTTAAATTCTAAATGTTATTATTAATATGGTCTTCATATATTGTAGATTTATCCAGAAGAAAACGTGACACAACAGGGATTGAGATTACTATTGGTTCTGACGATAGCTGTTCTACAAAGGATGAAGGTTTCTGCAATGGTCCTTTGAAGGACGGCACATCATATAGGTACATTTGAACATTAATCTCTTGATCATACTACAGGGTGTTATTATTTCAACTGCACCTTGTTGATGGGGGATACATTGGTTCATACATACAGAGTCATATCAGAAAAGCACTATTACAGCAGATTCACAAAAAGTTATATTGGAGAGATTGAAACATTTGATCTGATCAACCTGTCATGACCATATATGGTTATTTAAAAAAGTGTAAATGTCATACATCTATATGTATTAGAACCATTATTGCAAATAGAAACATTCACACAGTGTATATTGAAGATACTGCACACTAGATCTGATCAACATATGACATGACCATATATGGTTATATGATCATGTGACCCTTAACAATGCATAAATGTCATATCTAGAGCATTATTACATAAACAGACTTTAATCAGGTTAAATAGTTGCAACAACATGTCAGGTCTCATTTGCATATTTTAGTCCCAAGGAATAATTGTAGTAGTGTATTAATGATTAGTACTTCCTAAGGGACGACGTCAAAAGATCGATAAAAAACTTGTTTGCTTTAGTTTAGGGGTGGGGGTGGGGGGGGGGGATGGGTTGACCTCAAAAAGTTTCCATCCTAAAAAAGCTAAAAAATCTTGGAGTATTTGTAGCTCGTTTTTTTGCTATCCAATCATAACAGAAAATGAAAAAAACAAAACATCCAAGACGAGAAAATGGTTTGTAGTTTGCGCATGCATATATTCCGCTTCATTATTACAACCAACTGCCATGCCATACTACTGTCCTATTATCAATTTGTATTTATTGGTGAATGTAGTCTGACGCCATGATCAATATTTACCAATTAAGTTTAAGTGGGGGGTGGGTTGTTTTGGGAAAAAACTAAAAGAATTAAATTTTTTATTCGACATCGATCTTTTGACTTCGTCCCTAAGTAGATTCATCCGTCTAAAGCTTGAATGCATATCTGTATGCTATGTAATGTTTACATGCATTTATAACACAATTACAAAGTCAGGCAAGGTTGCCTGTTTGAATATATAATTTTCTGTCTGTTTTCTTTCAAAACACTCATTCAGGGTATATTTTTTTGAAAGCAAGTATATTAATACTACATGTAGGTAGTTATTTTTTTTACACAAGTTTCACATGACATCAATTCTATGAATTCTATGTATTTAGTCATATTAATTAAATGTCAATTAATATATGACTAAATACATAGTTGATAGAAAATGTTGCAATATTAAAATTCTATTTTTACCATGAAAATATTATGAGAGATGAAGTAAATGATGTATGGGGAGGTGTCTGACAATAGAAATATATAACAATATTTGCAAGGGAGAAAGGAAAATAATGGTTTTTCTGATCACAGTACTTCAGCACCCATTGTGCCATTCATTCTTTTTGTCAAGTAGTTGTTTCCAAAGAAATAGAGGATATCTAATAAGCAACCAATGATATCAGATTTTTGAGTGTTCTAATTTTCATAAATTATGTTTCTTGCTTGGAATATACAAAAATCGTGTCATAAGTTTTGATGTTCTACTCATCACATGTATACATTTGCAGATGTGTTGTCAACAAAATTAACATCAAAATCATTAATTCTGTGCAAGCATGTGAACTTCTTAGCAGGTAGTATATAACCAGCGATCAAACAAATTATTTTGGAACTATCAATGTATTTATGGTAAACCATAGATACATAGATAGTATATTTTTCTAAATTTTTAGCTCCGCTGTTGACTTTGTCGAGCGGAGCTTATCATACGAGTGATTGTCTGTCGTCCGTGTCAATGTTTTACTTTTTCGACTTCTTCTTGAAAATTACAAGCCTGAATGCTTTGATACTTGGTGTATATGTACCTTGGGTAGACCTCTCTTAGATTTGTTCATTTTGTAATGATATCTTCAATTCTCTAATTTTGGTGAATATTTTTGTCATTATTGGTAAAAAGTGATGTTTTTGACTTCTTGTTAAAAACCGCAAGTCCAATTGCTTTGATATTACATATATAGGTACTACATGTAGATCTCTCTCAGATTTTTTAATTTTGTAATGATATCTTCAATTCTCTAATTTTGGTGAATATTTTTGTAATTTCTGGTAAAAAGTGATATTTTCGACTTCTTGTTAAAAACCGCAAGTTCAATTGCTTTGATATTACATGTATAGGTACTACATGTGGACCTTTCTCAGATTTGTTCATTTTTTAATGATATCTTCAATTCTCTAATTTTGGTGAATATTTTTGTCATTTTTGATAAAAAGTGATATTTTTGACTTCTTGTTAAAAACCGCAAGACCAATTGCTTTGATACTACACATATATATATATATATACTACATGTGGACCTCTCTCAGATTTGTTTATTTTGTAATGAAATCTTCAATTCTCTAATTTTGGTGAATATTTTTGTAATTTTTGGTAAAAAGTGATATATTTCCGACTTCTTGTTAAAAACCGCAAGTCCAATTGCTTTGATATTACATATATAGGTACTACATTTGGACCTCTCTCAGATTTGTTCATTTTGTAATGATATCTTTAATTCTCTGATTTTGGTGAATATTTTTGTCATTTTTGGTAAAAAGTGATATTTTTGACTTCTTGTTGAAAATAACAAGTCCGATTGCTTTGATACTATACATATTGTTCATTTTCTAATGATATCTTCTGTTCTTTAATTGCAATGTGCATAGCTAACAGTGGAGCTATCTCAGACGACAAATCACAAATCAGCAAGTAGTCCTGACTATACAGAAGCAAAATTAATCCTGTTTGAGAATTAGAAACAAAAAGTTTTTTATATATGACTTTAAAGTAAAAAACACACTTTATTGAAAATATCAAACTGTTGATGTACAGCGAAAACATTCAGTTTGATTATATTTCAAACAATTATCACAAATATAAAATATCTCCTTAGAAAAGAAGTTGTTTTGTCATTTCAGGAGGTGAACAGTTAGCGACACCCCATTCTCAAATTGTGTCAAGCAATAAACAGATTTGCTGATCAGGGGATGTGATATGGAAAAATATTACATGGATTTATGTCACTGATAAAGTGAAAAATACTATATAATAATTTCTTTGAAAAGGAGGAATTTGAAAAAAAAAAAAAGTTTGCTGACCAATCCAAATTACTATTAATTGAATCGTTCTGTCATACAGTTGTTTTCACTGTTTTATTTCTTTTCTCTTCCAGATATCATTTTAGAGCATACACAGATGTTGGATACTCAGATACTGTACTTTCAGGTCCAATTCGAACAAGTGAGGGTTCTACTCCTATTTTTTTTTAAATGACCTTGGCAATGACCATCACAGTAATAAAATCATTAATAATGTTCATTCTACTGCTATCTAAATAGACCATTCTCCATTCTACATGAAATTCCTTGTTTTGCATGAAATCAAATGTTAAAACCGGAAACACAAATGTCATAGATTCGTAGTGGTGTCGAAAGATTGAACATTTTTTGGAATTTTTACACGCTGAATAATGTGCTACTGTAAAATACTTTACTAATAAACCCAAAAATAGAAATTTATTATACATGTACAAAAATCTGCTGAATAGTGCCTTGAAGTGGTCCTGTACAAATGCAATCCTGCACTTTGCAATATTTTTGTTTTAAACTTGTATAGATTTTTTTTTCGGCTTATATAATATAGTTTTATTGAAGACGATTTAATTGTTTTGTTATCTATTGCAGGCACTAACATGTCATGGTTGTGGTTACTTCTTGGTGTATTGCTTGGTGTATTGATAGCTGTTGCTATCATTCTTGCTATCATTTATTATAAACGAAGATATTATGAAGAAACTACGTAAGTCCTGTTGATTTCTGCTCTCTGAAAATTACTTCATTTTCACTGCATGGATATATTCAACATATACGGAGGTATACTATTCTTGAATGCGCATACCCCATAAGTAGCACAGACGAACAGTTTATTGATGCATTCAAAATAAGAACGTTGAAGTGCATAAACTGTGGAAATCGGGGTACTAGTTCATACACGAGTTGAGCGGCATTCAAGGCGGTTCTTTCTTGCTGCACCCTCTATAACTTTTAATCCGAGTTTATAGTTGATAATTTACAATTCAAAATTAGTGGTTGTAGGGAAATCAAAAAGTTTTTCATTAATGTGAAATTTTGTATTTAAGCGAGAATTAATTTTCACTGGAAAAACAGTTTTGGGTGTTTGATTCTATTGTAACTGATTTTTTAATTGAGTTGATTCAGTTGAATGTAAAATATATGAAAAAAGTATATTCACTGGATTTTACTTGCTCTAAGTCATCCCTTCTATAAATTGTGAGTGGAAATATTTGCAGTAATTTTGTTATCTTTAAGTTAATAAGTACATCTTCCATTCTTTTATCCCAAGACCCCAAACAAAATCTGTATTAAAAAAAGGCCTTAAGGTAGAAGCCTACTCATGAATTAAAATACCCAGAATTTATTATTTTTTTCAATAAACTGCACTCCAAGGCAATATAAAAAAGTTAGGGGTCACCAGCCTTATTTTCGAGAAATTGATGGTTGTATTTTAGTGGAAAGTCGCCATTTTGGCACTATTGTATGCTTTTAGCATAGGTTCCTATGGCAGAGGTATCGTGCAATATCTCAAAATCTAGCCTGGTGACATAGAAATATTAGAAGACATTTCTCAAAAAGCATAACTGTAACACACAAAATAATGCTATTTCATTGTACCATAAGACATTAGCTTCATGATTGTGCATAATAAATTATGAACGTTGTCATGCGATTTATGACCAATTTTGTCAAAAATTATGAGCAGGCTTCTACCTTAAACACAACAAAACATACACATATTCTTTCTTATCAAAAGCTGCATGTACAGTTATTTTCCAAATCATTTCTGTGATGAAAGCTTAAATCTACATTTTCAATTGAAATTCCTATTAAATATGTGTCTGAGAACATTACCATCTTTTCTGTGGCAGCAGACTTTTTAATTGCAATTTGTTAGTCCCCGTTCGAACACAGTCCGAAACGGGGACTTATATTTTGACCTCCGTGTTTCCGTCCGTCCGTCCGTCCGTGCGAGTGTGCGTGCGTGCGTGCCAATCACAATCAAACTTCACACATACATGTACATCATACATGATATTATACATATGCACGTCAATTTGTTTTCACGATCTGATTCAAGATGGTCGAATGGTGGCAATTTTTGTGATAAAAATCATCAAAATCGAGTATTTCTTGGCTGTTTACAGATGGATTTTGTTCAAACTTGGTATATACATTAGACATTATAGGACCTTGATGCACATCATTTTGTTTTACGGTCTGATTCAAGATAGCAGAATGGCAGCCATTTTTGTGCTAAAAAATCCTAAAACTCAAGCATTTCTCGGCTGTTTACAGATGGATTTTGTTCAAACTTGGTATATACATTAGACATTATGGGACCTTGATGTCAAAAATTTTGTTTTTCAGATAAGATTCAAAATGGCCGACTGGCGGCCATTTTGTTTTAATGAATGTGGTTCTCGTGCCATATCTCTGACTTGCTTTCACTGATTATGTTCACATTTTAAATATTCATTATACATCATGTCATAGATAAACAGATATATTGCTTTAACGATCCTAGTCAAAATGACCGAATGGTGGTCATTTTTGTGCTAAAAAATCATCAAAATCAACCATTTATGGATGGATTTTATTCAAACTTGGTACATACATTGGATATTACGGGTTCCTGCTGCACGTCATTTTATTTTTCAGATTGGATTCAAAATGGCTGACTTGCGGCCATTTTGTTTTAATGATTGGGCTTCTAGAGCCATACATGTATCTTTTAAATGCTTTGACTGTTTATATTCAAATTTTATATATTCGTTATACATCATGTTATATATATACATGTATTCAAAATGGCTGATTTTGAAGGCTATTCCAGAGCAATATCTCTCAAAATGGACAAGTACTTGTTTGACGATCAGATACAAATGTCAATCATTTTAATGTTAAAAAATCATATTCCTGACAATGTAATATTCCTGCTATATTACTATAAATAAAACTATATATCTTAAATTTGATAACTAACGGGGACTGTGCCATGCATGGCTTGTTATTTACAGTACACGTACTGTTGAGGGTACAGCAAATCCTGAATTTATCGGATTGAGAGATGAAAACGGCAAACCTCCAATTGCTCAGAAGCCTAAGACACAGAAACATTCAAAGTAAGTATCTGATAGTATTTGTTTTTTGGTTGCTTAAGATTGCTTGACTTTAGCTGTTCCACAGCAGCGCACACAGAACCCATAGAAATATGTGGTACAGTGGTGCACGTCTTAGCAACGTAGAACGTTCTGTGATGTAGCTTCACCCCTGAGAATTGTCAGTAATGTCTACTGCAATCATACATGTATTTTAAAGAATTTCATCCTTTTATGATGACGTAAATAAATATGATTATGCTGGGTGCTTGTAATTATTTTGGTGAATGCTTGAATAATTATTTTATTAATTATTTTACAGACCTGTGAAGCTGGCTGAATATCATGGATATTTCCAAATTATGAGTGCAGACATGGAGTTCCGCTTCTCAGAAGAATATGATGTATGTTATGTTATTTTAATTTTGTTATCATAAATTTAAGAAATTATTTTGTGGTCAGATGCTTCTCAAAAAAATCTAATATTTTTCTTTGGCTCAAACAAAAAAATTATGTTAGCACAGGGCTTAATTCACAAGTGTGAAATGTATATTTACTATTAATATCTAATAAGGTTAGTGAGTTACTATTCAGTTGTATGCATGGCAATTTTACCAGGCTAAGGGACTACCCGTAGCGTCAAACCAGAATGAACAATGTATCTATAAATTCAAGTATAGACCATATGCCATACAAGGCCAATATCATAAATAGTATACATATTAGGGGTTCTTCCAGACAGGGGAATAGGCGCGCAGCATTCTCATACCCTTGGCTTGCACCCTCTTGCCAAAATGCTGATTAAACTTCAAGCCCTCTTACCAAAATGCCAATTAAACCTTAAAGTCACACTTGGGCCATGCTGCCATTCAACATGAAATCTTTCTCAAAACAATCTTTACGTTGTGAAAACATCTAATTACCACCACCACCAATGTGTTTGGTCATCAAATACGCTATGCATGTAAGTACTCCAAAAATATTTCAGTCACGATAAATACATCATTAGATGGCACAAAAACTTTCCGATTTGACTTTTTTTTTCAGGCCGAGGGGTCTATTTGTTTTTTTGATACCTACTCTTACTCGACAAGGTGTACTCCCTCTTAACAAATTTTCTAGAAAAACCCTGCGTACTAGTGTTTATTGTATAATGTTGTGGAGTAATTTTCAACTGTTTTTATACAGGAACTGCGACCAGTTGGGAGAGAACAGTCTTGGGATGCAGCTGAGTTGCCAGAAAATAGAGCTAAAAATAGATACACCAACATTCTACCATGTTAGTATATATATTGTATTTATATTAGTACTATATTGTTTTCACTGTCTGGTGATTGGATATTTGGGTTTTTGGAATAACATGCTATATATTTTGTTGCATACCTGAATGAACTAATTACTAAATATACCCAGAATCATGTGAAAAAGATAAATTTTCTACATTCAGGTGTCATAAGAGGGCAGCATGTATGTTCTACAGTAAGTGTTACAAACTGTGATAGTACCCGTAACTCATTTATGCTAATGTATGCTAATTTATGCTAATTAAACATGGTGGCTAAGTGTATTAAGAGCATTTGTAGTTATACGGTACAGCTACTGCTGTATTTATTATTTAGCAGATATGTCTCTTCTCAGCAATGTGCGAGTAATTGTTGTTTTGTAGTCTGAAATTGTTTTTCTCTGTGCTCAGTTCAAACATGCAAAAAAAACAAAAACATGTTTACCTTCCTACATGTATATCAGCAGTTTTATTTTATGCTAGACATTGCAACTGTGAATGGTATGCACTATGGTATATGATAAGGTATCAATAACAAATGTTTGGCAGTTTTGATGAGTTGAATGACAACATAGAAAAAAAAAAAGTATTTTCGCTGGATTTTATTTTCACTGACTCATCCTTTCAGTGAAAATAGGGAAATAAATTGTGAGTGAAAAGAAAGTATTTTATAGTAACAAATTATTACATTTTTTAGATGATCGTACAAGAGTTAAACTCTCACAGGTGGAAGATGATGAAGCCACTGATTATCTCAATGCTAACTGGATGCCAGTAAGTCAGTTTTTTCTCTCTATGCCATAAAATGGGTGATGTATGCATGTTATGGTTGGTTGGTTAGCCTTCCATGGCTGCTGCAATCTACAATACTCTCCACTGAACCCTGTCTTTGGCAAGTCTATGTTCACATTAACATGCATTTGTTTCAAGTTCTGATTCAAAATGGCTGACTTATAGACATTTCATTAGTAACATGCCTAGACTGATTACACTACACATTAACATGCATTTGTTTCAAGTTCTGATTCAAAATGACTGACTTATAGACATTTCATTAGTGACATGCCTATAGACTGATTACACTACACATTAACATGCATTTGTTCTAAGTTCTGATTCAAAATGGCTGACTCTTTTCAGTTTTGTTGACTATTCAACAACAGGGTCTGTCATGTGATTACTCGTGCTTGTGATTTCTCATTATCCATTGGTCGGTAATACAAATTTGTTTTGTTTATTTTCAGGGTTTCAATTCTCCCAGGGAATTCATCGCTGTACAAGGAACACTGCCAGGTACCAAGGATGATTTTTGGAGAATGATTTGGGAATATAATGTGAGCACCATTGTCATGGTAACACAATGTCAGGAAAGAGGACGGGTGAGTTAGTCTGACATGTATGACAGAGTAATTGTTAAACTATCAGCATTAAATGTGACATTGAACAATGTTGCCAATCATTCATACTACTTTTATTTATTTATTTATTTATTTATTTAGGTGAAATGTGAGCGTTATTGGCCAACTGATGATAACCCAGTTTACTATGGTGATGTGTTGGTGACAGTCACTCATGAAAATGAACTGACTGATTGGGTTATCAGGGAATTCACAGTGGAAAACGTAAGCGTGTTTCTCATGATAATATTTCATAACACTGTACTCTGATAACAGTATGGTTTTTCTCCACCATTTATGGCATGTGGAATTTGAAACAGAAAATACATGTTTGTCAAATTTTATCAAATCATGATTTCAAAGAATGTACTATTATAGTTTGAATGGGCATAAACTTTTTACTTTTCATATTTTCCTCTAAGTACTGAAAATACCTAGCTGTGGAATGTGTAGGTCATCTTTTTTGAGCTAATTATCTACCCAACCCTAACAGCTAACATTCAGGCCAATCAGATAGCAGGTGTTTTTACCATGCATCAAATTCTGTATTCTATACAAACTTCGACACAACACGTTTATGCAGATTACACACACTGTCAGATATCATTCAATGGTATCATACATGTATGACTGTGTGGCTGACAGTGTGGCTGACAGTGCTACCTTGTCTTCACACTGAGTACGGAAACCTTACATACATACACATACAATTATTATCAGATGTATTCATGACTAATCAAATATATTCTTCATATACTAGGGCAAGTCACTGAGACGAATACGTCACTTTAATTTCACTGCGTGGCCTGATCATGGTGTACCTGAAGAAACAGGTTCTCTGATCAAGTTTGTACGATCTGTCAGGGCGCAGATTCAGAATGATGGTACACCAACTGTTGTACATTGCAGGTATGTAGAAAATATTTGTGTTATGTTTCTGTGTTCAAGTCGTTTAAGTGTGAGCATATACAATGCATTATGGGAGAGAAAATCAAAATCGCATCAACTTAGCGTATTGCAATGCAATGGGAGACATTCAAATTGACATCAATCAAGTATGTTACATGTAATAATACAATGCATTATGGGAGAG